AGGCTTGGAGCTGGCACAGGCACTGTGGCCAGAGTCTACCTCTTTAAGGGCTCCAGGGAGCGGGGGGGAGGGAGAGAAGTGTTCTTGGTTGAGGTTGGAGTGGCCATGAGGGCACCCTGGGAAGGCTGGAGGCCCCCTATTGCGAAATAAGTGCTCCTCTATTTCGATTTTATTTCAAAATAATGGCTTGGCTGTGTAGACGCTAGGACATTTATTTTGAAATAACTTTGCTGTGTAGACAGACCCTGAGAGATTTGAGGCCCCATGCCAGGCTGCTAGGGCCCGGGAAGCTGCATGAGCAGAGTGATCCTTCCATAAGTTACATTTACCCCTTTTATGTGGGTGTCACCCCAGTTCCCATTTAATAATAATATTTATTTATCCTTGATCAGTGTGCGATCCCTGCATCTAGCCCTGTTTGGCACCAACCCGTAAATGGTGCGGGAGGAGTGTCGGGGAGGGCAGGCACATGGAGAACTGAACTGAAACGTTGCCGTTCAGTGTGGTGTTAAAGCTACACATTTAAACATAGGAGGCAGGAAACTAAAACCCTGGGGGCAGGGAGTCCCCTTGAAATCTAGTCGGTTTCTACCAGTGAGTTAGAAGTAGTTGCAGAAGCAGCTCCTGGCCCTGGTTGTCCTCTTGGTTTCTGTGGGTGGTTTTTTGGTTGTTTTGTTTGTTTGTTGTACAATTGCACTTTCATGTTTCAAAATGAAACTCTCACCAATGACAGGAGAGAGGTTCTGCTGTTCCAGTTAAACTTTGGTATCATTTGTAACAAAATGTCAGCAAGAAGTGTGATTTAGGGGTGTGAAAATGGTTATTTGTTTTACTATTTTAATTCCAGGCTCGCTGCCCAGCCCTGCTGCGGCCATGGGGCCTGCCTCCGTCCCATCATGGCTGTGAGGTTCCACCAGCTGGGCTGGGTTAACCATTGAGCATACTGGTAAGCCTGATGCTTACCAGTATGCTTAACAGTTAATTGTTTTAACACCCCTAGATTGCAACCTGATGGTGTCCCAAAAACATTTCAATAAAGTAGCAGATTTGCATGAAACCTTCTTTGGAAGGAGGCCAAAAAAAAGGTTTGGAAAACACTCTAGGGCCCCGAATCTGCAGATGAATATGCATATGCTTACCTAAGGCCTTACCTATGCTGAAGTAGTATTGCCTTACCTATGCTGGCATGGTTTGACCTAGATTGCAACCTGATGGTGTCCCAAAAACATTTCAATAAAGTAGCAGATTTGCATGAAACCTTCTTTGGAAGGAGGCCAAAAAAAAGGTTTGGAAAACACTCTAGGGCCCCGAATCTGCAGATGAATATGCATATGCTTACCTAAGGCCTTACCTATGCTGAAGTAGTATTGCCTTACCTATGCTGGCATGGTTTGAGCAGCAACCCCCCCCCCCCCCCCCCCCACACCTATGGGCCGGGGGGTGAAAATGTG